ATTGGAGCTGGGACTGGGGTTGGCAAGGACATTAAAGCAGATACTCTTTCTCTTGGCACTTAAAGAAGGGCATGTTAACACCACATGGCAAATAGGCCGACTGGCCGGCTGTGATGGACCACGGCTGTGATGGACCTCTCACAAAGCAGAGTCTTGGTACATGCAGAGTTAGTGTATATATGTAGCTTAAGGTCTGAGGAGTCGGGATTGAGGCAGGGGATGGCTAGGTTTGGAGGGTAGCTGAGGCCTTAGGGAGTTGGGATTGAGGCAGCGGATGGCTAGGGCTGGAGGGTAGCTGAGGCATTAAGGAGTTGGGATTGAGGCAGGGGATGGCTAGGGCTGGAGGGTAGCTGAGGCTTTAGGGAGTTGGAATGGAAGGAATTACATAGGATAAAGGGATAGCTCAGAGGTCTTCTGTACAAGTAGTTGGAATGGAAGGGATTGCTTCAATGATTTAATGTTAAATGGTATTTCAAGGTCCAGGGAGTTGGGAGAAGAGCAATGATTTGGGTCAGTTTTGGGTCTAGGGTGTTGGGACATGAGGATGGTTAGGGTAAGAACATACATTGTAACAATGAATTGAGTCTTCACTCAGGTTTTCAATGAACCCTGTAAAAGGGTGTTGAGAGGTTAGGAATGGCTGGTATTAGAGGATAACTCTGGATGTATAGTGAGCAGAGGCAAGGAATGGCTGGTATTAGAGGATAACTCTGGATGTAGAGTGTGCGGAGGCAAGGAATGGCTGGTACTAGAGGATAACTCTAGATCTGAGTGTAGAGTGTTCAGAGGCAGGGGATGGCTGGTATTAAGAGGGTGACTCTAGATGTAGAGTGTGCGGAGGCAAGGAATGGCTGGTATTAAAGGGTAACTCTAGATCTGAGTGTAGAGTGTTCAGAGGCAGGGGATGACTGATATTAGAGGGTAACTCTAGATCTGAGTGTAGAGTGTTCAGAGGCAGGGAATGGCTGGTATTAGAGGGTAACTCTAGATGTAGAGTGTGCGGAGGCAAGGAATGGCTGATATTAAAGGGTAACTCTAGATCTGAGTGTAGAATGTTCAGAGGCAGGGGATGGCTGGTATTAGAGGGTAACTCTGGATGTAGAGTGTGTGGAGGCAGGGAATAGCTGGGTTTAGAGGGTAACTAGATCTGAGTGTAGAGTGTTCAGAGGCAGGGAATGGCTGGTATTAGAGGATAACTCTGGATGTAGAGTGTGCGGAGGCAAGGAATGGCTGGGATTAGAGGATAACTCTAGATCTGAGTGTAGAGTGTTCAGAGGCAGGGGATGGCTGGTATTAGAGGGTAACTCTAGATCTGAATGTGCAGAGGCAAGGAATGGCTGGTATTAAAGGGTAACTCTAGATCTGAGTGTAGAGTGTTCAGAGGCAGGGGATGACTGATATTAGAGGGTAACTCTAGATCTGAGTGTAGAGTGTTCAGAGGCAGGGAATGGCTGGTATTAGAGGGTAACTCTAGATGTAGAGTGTGCGGAGGCAAGGAATGGCTGGTATTAGAGGATAACTCTAGATCTGAGTGTAGAGTGTTCAGAGGCAGGGAATGGCTGGTATTAGAGGGTAACTCTAGATGTAGAGTGTGCAGAGGCAAGGAATGGCTGGTATTAGAGGGTAACTCTAGATCTTAGTGTAGAGTGTTCAGAGGCAGGGGATGACTGATATTAGAGGGTAACTCTAGATCTGAGTGTAGAATGTTCAGAGGCAGGGGATGGCTGGTATTAGAGGGTAACTCTAGATCTGAGTGTAGAGTGTTCAGAGACAGGGAATGGCTGATATTAGAGGATAACTCTAGATGTAGAGTGTGCGGAGGCAAGGAATGGCTGGTATTAGAGGGGAACTCTAGATCTTAGTGTAGAGTGTTCAGTGGCAGGGGGTGTCTGGTATTAGAGGATAACTCTGGATGTAGAGTGTGCGGAGGCAAGGAATGGCTGGTATTAGAGGTTATCTCTAGATCTTAGTGTAGAGTGTTCAGAGGCAAGGGATGGCTGGTATTAGAGGATAACTCTGGATGTAGAGTGTGCGGAGGCAAGGAATGGCTGGTATTAGAGGATAACTCTAGATCTGAGTGTAGAGTGTTCAGAGGCAGGGGATGGCTGGTATTAGAGGATAACTCTGGATGTAGAGTGTTCGGAGGCAAGGAATGGCTGGTATTAGAGGGTAACTTTAGATATGAGGGTAGAGTGTTCAGAGGCAGGGGATGGCTGGGATTAGAGGGTAACTCTGGATGTAGAGTGTGCGGAGGCAAGGAATGGCTGATATTAAAGGGTAACTCTAGATCTGAGTGTAGAGTGTTCGGAGGTATGGGGTGGCTCGGTTTAGAGGGTAACTCTAGATCTGAGTGTAGAATGTTCAGAGGCAGGGGAGTGTGCGGAGGCAAGGAATGGCTGGGATTAGAGGGTAACTTTAGATATGAGTGTAAAGGGTTCAGAGGCAGGGGATGGCTGGTATTAGGGGGTAACTCTGGATGTAGAGAGAGCGGAGGCAAGGAATGGCTGGTATTAGAGGTTATCTCTAGATCTTAGTGTAGAGTGTTCAGAGGCAGGGGATGGCTGGTATTAGAGGATGACTCTAGATCTGAGTGTAGAGTGTTCGGAGGTATGGGGTGGCTGGTATTAGCTATAGGGTAGTTTGAGGACCTAATAAGGTGTTTTAGACATGAATTGGCTTAGTGAATACAGGATCGTCACAGAATCAGTGGTAATTGGGCTGTAAAAGAACTTTATTTCAAGTAAGGGTTGAGGTAAGGCAGCTATAATTGTAGGAAGTACAATGATTTATGTACTTGACTGATGTAGCTTTTCCTTGTTTGGGTAGTGTGAATGATTCAGATATTTCTTGCTATGTTGTTGGATGAATAATACACGTATAGACTACCAGAACACCACCAGATGTGTTCCTACAACTTTGTTTACTCACCTGGGCACAGTATTAAAAGCTAGGTCAGCTTATATCAATTTTCAAAACCAAATCCCCACCCCCTACTAAAAAAAAAAAAAAACTAACGTCACAAAAAGGACATTAAATCAAAATAGAACTGTTGTGTCTTCTGTCTTGAACAAATATTTATATTTGAAAACATATTCAAAATTCAATTTTGTTTATATATTTCTTTTAGAAATTATCCCAGATGAAATATGTACAGTAAACCAGGCTCTATAAATTAGTGAAATACACATTTATCATTTGCCTGTACAGAAGGAGATAGAGAAACGTATGCTAACTACAGATGGAATAAAAGAAATTTGATAAAAAAACATTAAACAGATCTAGAAATGTCTGCCAGAGTTACACAGACCAGTTTACTACATGTCAGAAGAACTGTTTGTTTGGACATTCTTAGTGGTGTTTGAAGGGTATAGACTGATGCCAGATATATCATATAGTGTATAGCTGATGAGTGACACATGTCTACATATAACGATACAGATCTAGGGCTGACCAGATGTTGTAGATCTGTATCGGTCTATAAGCATACATCTGTACACCTACATATCTGCCTAACACTTCAGGATATGAAACAATGTTTATAACCTTGACCTTGAGGTCGTGACCTTGAATCTGGGCATCTGTCAGTAAGACATGTTATTACATATTTGTATACCAGTATAAGATATGAAACATCTTTTGTGACCTTAACTTAGAGAGTGTGACCTTGAACGTTTATTTCAAGATATATTGCGTTAAACTTTTATCATTTAACAATTCAACTCTTGTGACCTTGACCTAAAGCAATTAATTTGTTCTTCATTATTGAGTTGGATTTAAAGAGATAACGTTTCTTTGAAAAAAACATAAAGTTTGAAAAATGTGATGATTTGAGCTGGGAAAGGATCTTGTGTGTTTGTGTTCAAGGTGAAAGATGTGTATTGGCAACACACATGTACAGTCCCTGTAGAACTTGAAGCATATCTCAACACGGTTCCTTCTTTGTATGTTTCAATGTTGGTAATTTTAAATTGTCAGTGTGTTTTCATAGCTTAGAGTTTCATTCACAGAATTTGTTCTGTTCTTCTTCTCTGTATGTATTCGTAATAGATTCGATCATATGTAGGTATGTGGGATATAGATATAACACCCTCGGGTGTAGAATTGGGGTCAGAACACAGGCTGTAATGAGGGTCTGATGCCAAATTTACCTCCCGAGGGTAGAATTTTGAAAATTCCATATACCTACATTATGATTGACTCATTTTCTCCCACTTTGTAGCAAACGTTTTGGTAAAACATGACATAGACAATTCAATAGTAGTACCTAATATAGTAAAATTTCTTGATAATGCATAAAGAAACTAGGATTACCTTTGGAAAGAGCAGAGAACAGTATGGTAAAATGCTATACATGTACATCTACACAGTGTAATTTAAAGATCAATGCAAGACCTTCACGGCACACTTGTGCACTAACACTATATATGTTCCTGAGGTGGCGAAGGCACTTGATGATGGCAAGATTTTCTTGTGATTATGGACTCTGTAGTTATATAAATAGGCCTTATATTTAAGATGTGACCTTAACAAGTGCTTTGTACAAATAGTGTAAAAGCAGAAAGTCGTAATGTCTTGTTGACAGGTTCTTCGGATGGTTTCCATTAATCCTTTTCCTTTGTTGACTACATCATGAGGTTATTGTCCATTTTGATTGCAAGATCATTTTGGTTTATAGTATAGATCATTAATATGACCTTAACTCTCCACCTTATATAAATGTTAAGCTGTATCTTTGATTTTCTTTCCTGAAGTTAGAACTTTCACGCTAGGTGTTTCCTATAGATTAACACCATCATATGTAAGTAAATTCCAGTGTTATTTGCAAACAAGTGTATTGCTGCATTAATGAATTCTGCAATACCAATAAAATTTATTACAAAAAGGGCAGTCCTAAAACCCTTCCCTGGGGAATTCCACTTCTACCTCTCTATACATTTTGATAAATTTCCATTTACTGATACTGGCTTAGTTTTAAATCGTTTGCTCATTTTATGTTACAGGTTTGGTGAGCTAGCCAGGACATCAGCAGTCAACACACTTCTACTCATTATCTACATCACGGCAGGCTTGAGGATTGACATGTGTCACTCACCAAATGATCTTCATCACAACAGGCTTCAGGATTGACATGTGTCACTCACCAAATTATCTTCATCAGGACAGACTTCAGGATTGACATGTGTCACTCACCAAATCATCATCATCACAACAGGGTTCAGGATTGACATGTGTCACTCACCAAATCATCTTTGTCACAACAGGCTTGAGGATTGACATGTGTCACTCACCAAATCATCTTTGTCACAACAGGGTTCAGGATTGACATGTGTCACTCACCAAATCATCTTTGTCACAACAGGCTTGAGGATTGACATGTGTCACTTACCAAATCATCTACATCGGTACAGGCTTCAGGATTGACATGTGTCACTCACCAAATCATCTTCATCATGGCAGGGTTCAGGATTGACATGTGTCACTCACCAAATCATCTTCATCACAACAGGGTTCAGGATTGACATGTGTCACTCACCAAATCATCTTTGTCACAACAGGCTTGAGGATTGACATGTGTCACTCACCAAATCATCATCATCTGGACAAGCTTCAGGATTGACATGTGTCACTCACCAAATTGTCTTCATCAGGACAAGCTTCAGGATTGACATGTGTCACTCACCAAATTGTCTTCATCAGGACAGGGTTCAGGATTGACATGTGTCACTCACCAAATCATCTTCATCATGGCAGGCTTCAGGATTGATATGTGTCACGTACCAAATCATCATCATCAGGACAGGCTTCAGGATTGACATGTGTCACTTACCAAATCATCTTCATCACGGCAGGCTTCAGGATTGATATGTGTCACTCACCAAATCATCATCATTTGGACAAGTTTCAGGATTGACATGTGTCACTTACCAAATAATCTTCATCACGGCAGGCTTCAGGATTGATATGTGTCACTCACCAAATCATCATCATTTGGACAAGTTTCAGGATTGACATGTGTCACTCACCAAATCATCATCATCTGGACAAGTTTCAGGATTGACATGTGTCACTTACCAAATCATCTTCATCACGGCAGGCTTCAGGATTGATATGGGTCACGTACCAAATCATCATCATTTGGACAAGTTTCAGGATTGACATGTGTCACTCACCAAATCATCATCATCACAGCAGGCTTCAGGATTGACATGTGTCACTCAGTACATCACCTTCATCAGGACATAATTCAGGATTGACATGTGTCATTCACTACATCATTACCATCATGCGGGAAAAAATCCAAGATTGACACATATCTAATCATTAACATCAGAAAGATTTATGATGGACACATGTCACTACATCATTTATAGAAGAAAAGGTCCAAGATTGAACCATGATAATTGCCACATCTACATCAGGAAAGGTTCAGAATTGACATGTGTCATTTGCCACATCATCTTCATCAGAAGATGCTTCAAAAATGACATGTTGCTCACCACATCAATATCAAGGAAAGATCAAGGATTGACATGTGTATTTCACTACATCATTTACTTAAGGGGACGAAACAAGGATTGACATATGTCACATACAGCATCATCTATATCAAAGAAAGAATTGGGATTCATATGCCAATATCATGCCATCTACATCATGATTTGCTTCAGGATTGACACCTGCCATTAATTACATCATTTACGTAAAAATATCCAAGATTGACACATGTCGCTCATCAAAGTGTCTGCGTCAGTGGACTAATCTAGGAATGACATGTGTCACTCATCAAAGTGTCTGCATCAGTTGACTAATCTAGGAATGACACGTGTCACTCATCACACCATGTACATCAGAGAAGTGAACTGTGATTGACATGTGTCACTCATCACATCATCTACATCAGAGAAGTAAACTGTTATTGACATGTGTCACTCATCACATCATCTACATCAGAGAAGTGAACTGTAGTTGACAAGTGTCACACATCACACCGAAGTAGACTGTTATTGACATGTGTCACTCATCACATCCTCTACATCAGAGAAGTGAACTGTAGTTGACAAGTGTCACACATCACACCGAAGTGAACTGTTATTGACATGTGTCACACATCACACAAGAGAGTGAACTGTATTTGACAAGTGTCACCTCATCATTTACATCAAAGCTAGGATTGACAAATGTCTACCTACTTTGAGATGATGTGTACAACCAGTAAAAGGAGTCAGCATCTGTAGGAAATGGAAGGATAGTTGTGTTTCGATCAATGCAAACGTTAAGAGATAAAAGAGGGACAAGATGTGTTATTATAAAGTGTAGGATATCTCAGATTTGTTTTATTTCTAATACATCGGCCGTGAGCTGGAAGCCATATAACTAGAACTCATCAGTTGATACTTTCATTATATTTTGTATGTAAAAATGTATATTGGTTGAAAACATAATTAATGTTTTACGACTTTGAAAACATTAAAAGTTCATAAAAACATCTCAAATTGTTTTGTTAATTTATACATTATGTAGCGAGTCGAAGGACATATCATTCCCGAGAGGAAATGCAGAAGTCTGAACTCCATCCTCGATACTCCAGGGGTTATGCTCACTTTTTTCGTTCTCTGCACCCCTGGAATATGTCACAGCAAAATTGAAGGCACAAAGATAGCTGTTTGATTGGTATCTGGTAAAAAACCCTGACCAAGGCTGATACCTGTCCTTTGAAGATTATAGAGGAGCGACACCCTACTTCACAGCCAGCCAAATTTTATTGTTACACCTCAAGTGAATTTCTAGCAATTTGATTGGTTGGGAGAAAATTAAACAAAAATCTCTGTTACCCTCCGAAAATACATTGGTTTTAAGGGGCGCGGGTTATATTGCCATGAGACAGAGAAAAATATCACTATGACATATTCCAGGGGTGCAGAGAGCGAAAAGTAAGCATAACCCCTGGAGTATCGAGGATGATCCACAAGGTAGAGCACACTGAGCCTTTAATTTTGCTACGACATATTCCAGGGGTGCAGAGAGCGTAACACCTGGAGTATCAGGGATGTCTGAACTCTTGTTTCTTGTAGGCAAAATAATGTTACATAAGTATGATCTGTGGTACTCGTAATGGACGTTATTCATTTTCCTGGTTATTCTATGTTCTCAGTAAGAGACACAGAAATATGATCTCCCTGTCAAAATGGCTCTTTGCACAACCACACTTCACTTATTTTGAAATCAGAATTGCTTGGTTATCCAAAATATAATTATGTTTTATTTTTATTTTTATTTACTTTTGAAATTGATTTTATCTCAGAAGACAATAGCAGGTTAAATTTTGTCATTTTACTGTAATCAGAGATTGTGATTTATAAGTCTAACAGTGCAGACACTATCTCAAATTTAGTTAAACAATCAGAATGTACAGTCTTGGAGGTATGTTTAATCAGGAAATAATTTTTAAAAATTTCATATCAACATCCTAACCCTGGATAACATCTGCATCAAAAGCTTTAGAAGTGTACATTTGTGAATATAGAAAACACCATATTCACATCATTCTTCGTAATGTAGATGTTTCAAGTTATTTGCCTCTATCCATAAAATAAACAATCTGATAGGATTTCACGTGTTAACAGGGAAGTGGAATTAAAATACCAAAACAGTATCATCGTGTAAGAGATTTTGGCAGGCTAAAGTGTAGCAGACACTGAATTTATTGGTAAGCAATTTATTAGATGCATTGGAAATCCAAAAAAGAAATTGATTTACAGGTAAAAACTTATTCATTAAGTTACAGAAAAAAGGGATTTTTCTTTTCCAAATATGAGATTTATTAGTATCTATACCAAACACAAGTTTTGCTTATGCGTGTTTGCTTTGGGGTAGTATCTAATAATTCAATCCATGCACAGTCAGCAACATGGATGTCGTCTATTAAGGAAATGGCTATGGTCATCACACATTGAAGAAGCTGTGTGTTTGTAGGTGGCTCAATAATGGTCAGTTCTACTGCAACATACTGACTAGTTACACCATAAAAGACAATCAGAAATTAATCACGGCTCGGTACATACCCTGATAAAGTGGTAGTGACAGGCAATTTCTTACTGTGACCCGGGTGTGACCTAATGACCATTGTGAGTGGCTGTTGTGGGGAAGGGAGGGGGTTCTCTGGTTGGGTAGGACATACAAACTGTACTAGTCGTTTTATATGATCGACAAACGGTTCTAGACTAAAATATATGTAAGAATTCCCCCGATAAACCTCTAGAGAGGTGAAAGCGCTAGGGAGGTACTAAGAAACTCTTTGTATTTGTTATATATATTTATATATATATACATATAAAAAGTTTGAATTGAGATGGAACAATAGCTTGTACAGAAGGAGCGGCTGAGGTCTATACTGGGATCAACAACATTATATACATTGCACAATGAGAGGCTTAGAATAGGATTCTAAAGAGGCTAGAATCATATTGGGTAAGGGATGGTGGATGACACCTGGCGCTCAATGCCTCTTGTTGCCTAATGAGTGATGTCATTTGTAATTCTGGTGCTTAGGGTAATTTCTATTGGTTTCTGATAAGTGATGCTTGATAGGTGATGTTTCAGATTTCTGATGAACGATGTCTGACAGGTGATGACTCTTGTTGTCAGAAGGAATATGTCCCATTTGTTGTTTGATGACTTAGTTATGTTTCCTGGTGCCTGAGAGAGATGTCATTTGTTGCTTGATGAGAGTGTCACTTGATGCCCATTGAGAGATGTTTTGGCGCCAGTTGGGTAATGTTGCCTGGTGGCTGAAGAGAAATTTCATTTGATACCTGTAGGGTGATGTTTCCTCCAGCCGTATTCATGAAGCTGTTCTCATGTTCAGTCATGGATTCTATACTCAAGTCAGCATTCTTTTCACTCACTTACATCATCTTAAATGATCGAAATGTCAGATACACACACTGAAAACAGTATTTGGCTCTTAAGTGTCTTCAATTTTTCACCAAATCTATAACAAGAACAATTAGGCTTGAGCACAAAATCCATACTATCCAGCATGAGAACGGTTTTATGAATACGCACGGGCCCAGGTGTCTGAAGAGAGATTTCATTCATGTCTGTTTGGTGATGTTCTCTGGTTTCCGAGGAGTGATCTCATTTTATGTCTGTTTTCTGGAGTCTGAAGAGGGATTCCATTTTATGTCTGTTGGATGATGATTCCTGATACCCGGAGATATTTCTGTGTAAAAACTGTCTTTTGATGCGTGATAAGAGATTGGCATATCAGTGCTCAATGGCAGTTCTTTCCTGGTGACTGATGAAGGTGTCATTTGATGCCTATTGGTGCTTGATTAGTCATGCTTATTGATGCCAGGGTTGCAGTTTTCTGCCGTCTGATATATATATATGTGTTGTACCTGCCGTCTGATATATATGTGTTGTTCCTGCCGTCTGATATATATACGTGTACCTGTCGTCTGATATATATGTGTTGTACCTGCCGTCTGATATATATATGTGTTGTACCTGCCGCCTGATATATATATGTGTTGTACCTGCCGTCTGATATATATATGTATTGTACCTGCCGTCTGATATATATATGTGTTGTACCTGCCGTCTGATATATATATATGTGTTGTTCCTGCCGTCTGATATATATATGTGTTGTACCTGCCGTCTGATATATATATGTGTTGTACCTGCCGTCTGATATGTGTTGTACCTGCTGTCTGATATATTTGTGTTGTACCTGCCGTCTGATATATATGTGTTGTACCTGCCGTCTGATATATATGTGTTGTACCTGTTTCTGATATATATATGTTGTACCTGCTTCTGATATATATGTGTTGTACCTGTTTCTGATATAGATGTGTTGTACTTGTTTCTGATATATATGTGTTGTACCTGTTTCTGATATATATGTGTTGTACCTGTTTCTGATATATATGTGTTGTACCTGTTTCCCTGATGTCTGCTGGCTATATGCCCGACAAAACGTGCATTATCTACAGGTTGACAGT